TGGCAGAGTTTAGAGAACCGCCTGATTTTCTCTAGTAATATTATTGGATCCTCAATTAGTAGTGAAATCAACTATAGAAAGAAATTTAATTATGAAATTCGTTTAATGACCGATAGAAAAATCTAAGAATTTTATGATAAAGCGTCAACTTGTATGGGACATATTAATCGAAATTTTTGTCAAATTAAACCTTTCCAGCCATGCCATTCTACAAAATTCAAAAGATATACCTATTAACCAATCAGACATCATTTTAGTTTGCGAAAAAAATCCGTCATGACATAAGTAATTTGAATAGCAAAATAAAAGGTCTGCGGCTGATGCAATATGAAAAAATTTGAAAATCTTTTAGATGGCAAAAATAGACAAGACTGCTCGTATTAGAGCGAAGCCCTGAACGTTCCGACTGCCTTTTTAAGGTTTATGGAGCAGTAATAATTTCAAAAAATTAAATGAAATGAAACCAAATGAAAAACTTTTTTCTAAAATTTGAAATTTTGGACCAAGTTAACACCCTCCCTCCCCCCCCCCCCAAACACGTTTAGGGGGGAGGATGTTAATTTGGTTCTAAGTGGGAATTTTCAAATGAGCTTTTCACACGCAGCGCTTAAGAAATTTAACTTATATTGAAAGCTGGGTAGGAGGATCTTAACTTGGTCTATTGGGGGGAGGGGGGTGAGAGGATGTTATTTTGATCCGAAATTTTTAAATGAAAATCATCTCTCCACACGCCATATTAAGTACAAAAGGATAGATTTCGCTCCTTTTAACAAATCAATTATGGCAAATAAGTTTCTTTCAACCAACTTGGAACAATTTTTATGACTGATTAACTCTCCGCTAACACGTTAATAGCGCGAAATATATCGTGCTTAGTTGTCCCAAATTGGCCAAAATGACAATCTTTCAATCCCCGTATTTTTACGAAAAATAATCATAGGTAAAACATCTTTTCAAATTTGAGCTCAAGACAACAAAACCTTTCGAATTATATTTAAAAAATCCGTCAAAAATGGCTTGTTAAAAAGTCGAAATTTGTCTGAAGAAAAAAAAACCCGACCCGAGCACAAATATTCCGTTACTTTCGTATCGAAAGTCAGAACAACAAGAGCCGGCGCATCGCTTCTGAATGGATCTATCAAAATCATTAAATACAGTCAAGTCAGTACTGCAGAGTGCCCAAGATTCAGTATGAGAACATGTCCTTTCTTACTTCGTAATAACGATTAAACAGACACAGTTAGAATACTATTTTTTACTTGCAGATGATAGAATCACCTCGAGCAAAATCTTTTAAGTAAAAAGTTTTAAACAGACTAGTCAAAAACAGTTGAACATTTTGCAAACGGTTTCAGTCATCACTAAGGTATCTTGGATAGCAAAATAGGATGTCTACAGTTAATGCAATAGTTGAAATGTTTGAAAAACTTTCAGATCGCAAAAACAGGCAAAAATAGATTCCAGATTATTATATCTATCAAAGGCGTTTGATACGATAAATTTTTCCTCTCTACAACAAAAAAAAAATACAAATATGGCTTGCGAGGTAAGGTGCATGACTTGTTTAAATCATATATGTCTTATTGAAACCAATCACGTTTTTTGACCATCAGGAATCCAGTATTAAAAAATGAAATCAAAATTTTAACTGTTAAACAAAAAGTTGAGAATACAAAAAAATTGATTTTCAGTCTGAATTAAAAGGCAAACAAAAAATTGATTTATTTAGGAGGACATATTTGAATTTGAAATCATAATGAATGCTAAAAAATTACCTTGAAAAAGCTAAAATCTCAACTCGTGATAACAACCCGGAAGTCCCTACCCTATTTTGGAATAAAAATACCCTTAAACCCAAAGCACTGCTAAAATTGTAAGTGTCTGTATTGACGAGTTCAATGCTTTTCCCAAATTGCGAGGCAGTTATGAAATGTCAAACAAGTTATCTAAATTTTGTTCTTCATACGAAAATTTTCACGCCAAAAACTGTTGATGAAAACCCTTAAATATTTGTTCAGACGCTGTACCCACATGAAATCCTTTTTTTCTGGAACTGTAAACAAAACTACTCCGTTCGTGTTGCGCTTTATCAATAGATCCAGAAAATTGGAAGCAGTTAGAACAGTTAGAAGATAGGAAACAGTTTACTCTCCTTTTTGACTTTTATTTTCTGATTGAAAGAGTCGACGCTATCTGCGTTCGTACATGCAACAACAGCTTTAGAGTGCTCAGCCTGAAATGCATGTTCATCTCCTCGGCCAAAGATCATATCTCAGCAGCAAAGCCAGACTATGTGGCCATCTTTTCCTAATCCGTTCCCAACACATTGACATCATCCGCCGCAGGATAAGACGAAAAAGATGGTGACTCAACTCCCGTTTCCGCCAGGTCAATCGCATCACACATTGCAATCTTAAGACACAGAGGCGACAACACAATTTAATGATTATGATTTCCAGCAAAGCAAAGAAAAAAAACAAACCGAAAATTGAAACAAAAATATAAAGGCAAAAAAATTAAGATCTGAGCACAAACGTGAATTATTTAATGGTTTCATATTCAAAGGTGAAATATAAAATTCTTTAAAGCAACAAATCGAAAAAAAAAATCATTTAAAGTCAGAATACGAAATTAAAAGTTTTTACAACAATAAAAGTTTTTTACGAGTTCTTTTTGGTCACCTAAAACAAATTTTCTACTTTTGTTGACATTTTTTTCCAATATAAAAATAGTATAGTTAAGCTTACTGACATTTGGTTGGTAGAATAAAAAAAAGAAACGCTCTTATGCGACGCTTTCTAGCAGGCTGTAATTTCTTCGGTGAGCGTTCAATTTCGGTCTTCGTTAAATGATGAATTACACCAAATTGGTTGCGAAATCCACTGACAAACAGTGCAATCCAGTGACATTTTGCTTCAACTCACTTCAACTGTAAAAATGAATTTGTCTGCGGAATTCAAAACAAAACATGTCTTAGCATTTGTCTAAAAAATCCGCATTGTAACTGGAATACAAACTTTTTGCTCGCTAGCTAAATTTCAGTTATAGCTACTAGTGTTTAAACATTTGTCCTTCGATTCCATCAAGTTTCCGTTTTCAAAGGTTTTTCGAAATGTTGCGGAATCCAACCCACTTGATGTGGATTCAAGGGAGAATGTATGCGGAATTCAAACCATTACCAAAGCACCCGAGCTTGGCATCGTAATGAAACATTAGCGACGCACTAAACAAAACAAAATGTGAGGCAAAAGACCCATGTTGAAATCGAATCACCCGCGTTGTTTCGAAATCACTGAAAGAGGATGGCCTCAAGCGTTTTTTAAAAAAGAAAAGCCAGCACTGGATTTGTACCCGCTACACTAACTAGGACAATTTTGACAGAAATTGAGAGAAATAAAAATGCGTACTGTTAGGCTTAGCCACATTTTGTCCCTCGGTTTTTATTAGGGACCACAGCATTTTTGAGGAACCAAGTAAGTAAGTTAGTGCCCGATTAGTCATGACAAAATCAGTACGACTAATGGCTCTTAGTGCACTTTGGGGCTCTTTGCTGCAATTTGGCTCTCAAAAACTAAGGCCAAACGGATATTTTAGCAAGACGGAAAAGACGGAGTACCACAAAAAAGGAACAAGAAATTAACAAAAAACACTTCAAAATCTTTGTTCAAAGAGCTTGTGTTTTATTATAGTAACCGATTTTCGACGTTATTGGTGCCACCAATTTTGTGTTTTATGAAAAGTACTGAACCATTTAATTGCTTATAGATGATGACATTATAACTCAGCGGCGGATCCAGGATTTTCTTTAGAGGGTGCGATTTTTTTTTAGGTCGATCGAAGTCATTTTTCGAGCTTTTGATAAATTAAAAAAAAGGCGTTTTTAGGAATTATTTAAAAAATGTTGACTAAAATACACGTGTTTTTTTTTCGGCGAGCGCTTTACCTTGAAAATTTTTAAGTATAGGCGCCAAAAGGCCTGTTAAAAATTTTAGGGTCAGTCTGTCAAAAAAAGATATCTAAAAATAGTACAAAAGGAAACTGTTGAGAATTGATGCTGAAAGTCAATCCAAACGATGTTCTCAAATTTGTTAGGAGACCACGATTAGATCTCTATGGCTTTTTTAATTTAGTACTTTTTAAGAAAACCATTTTCAGCCGGCCGACACTAAATGTTTTCTAAAGGCGCCTTTGGCGCCAATATATACACTAATTTTGAGGGGGAGCGCGCGCCGAAAAAAAACCCAATTTTTTGTCAAAATTTTCCAAAAAGTTCCCAAAAATGGCGGTTTTTAGTGCTTGAGGAGAGCTCGCAAAATCAATTTTGTCGAACAAAAAGAAAGGTTGTCAAAATTTTCAAATTGTTTTTGAAAATCCGCCCCCTTGAGAAAATCCTAGATCTGGGTCTGAAGAAGATGTTTAAAAGTGAATTTGTTGCCTCCTATTCAATTCAATGCAATTAAATGAGAGAATGAAATCATACCTAATTTTGAGGGCGACTACAACTCCCCTCACTACTTCGTGGGCGTAACGGTAATCATTATCAAAGTTTAGCTCAGTAATCAAAGATTAGCTCTGTTAAAGGTTCAATCAAAAATTACCGATGTTTAAATTGATTGAACCTGGTTTTATCTTTTTTTTTTTGCTAATTGTATACTATTCTATAGTTTTTGATTTTTCTCCTTAGCAATGAAAAGCCCTGTACGCTAATGATGCCATAAATTAAAATTGTTCATTTTTTGTTTTTGCTGTGTTCGATGGTGCGCTCATTGATCGAAATATTATTTAAAGATTTCGAGAAGGCCAATGCACTGAACGTGTTTGCAATCGGAGGAGGGGTCAGTCTCAAAATGTTTGTCTATGACCCAACTACCACCATAATGACTACGTGGGACCACTCCAACTCGTTTGATGTCGGACCAGGGCAGCACTACAGCGTCAAATTGTCCACTCGCAAGTTCAGAGACTTCACTGGATTCAGCAACTGTATCGAGGAGGGAGCTATGGGGTAAACATCCCGGCTCGGCAACATGATTGTATGTTTAGGTCAAAGAATTGAAAGTTTATACATTCATTCCAGTTAAGTTAGGCCCAATTTAAGCATATTCAGAGCTTGCTTCTAAAAACTTTGGAGCCTAAAGAAAACTGTGAAGAGCTTTCGTAACCTTTGGTACAAGCAAGCAAGATTGTGCATCTATACCATAATTTCTGGATTTGGGTAATTAGTTTTCATTCCAAATTTGAACTAGGGGAGCTAGCATTTTCAAAGTTGCATTTAACTTGTGCGAGGGAACGTGTCGAAATCTTGATTGTTCCGTACGGTTCAATTATAATGAAATTTGGAGTGTACACTGATGACTACCGAAAACCAAACAATTTGGTCTTCAAGCTGAGACTTGTAAAACCAAACCGGTTCCAGCATTGAAATTAAACGTTATAATCTAGGCTCGGTAGAGTTAGAGTGAATCAAAGAGACAATGAAAATGACAAGTTGTCATCATGGTTTAAAAAAAGGAGCACTTTTTTCAGAATCCTGCGGTATTACGAAAGAGGCTACGCCCAGATGTTGTGTGTGAGTGAGTGTTACAGTGAGATTGAACTTGACATCTGCCAGTGTAAGGGCATCAGCCAGTTGTTCTTCACCAAAACTGATTTGACCTGTGGTACCAACACAATTACCATGTGCCCAATCTACAAAGAGGAAATACTCAGTAAACTAGTTTTAGTTCATCGATTTTATCTCCCTCTGTATGGTCTTAGAAATATCACATACTGAAAATATGTTAAGCCAGAAAAATCGTGCAAAATTTTAACAGACCTGTAATAATGAAAAAATACGAATGTTTTAAAAATCATGAGCGGGTTTCCAACTTTGTTTTCTGTTTCATTGAAATTTTGTTTCTTGCTTTTTTTGTTCCTCCTTCTTTCAAAAATGGCTTACTTTACATATTTTGACCAATTTTGACCATTTGTGACCACCTTTTTTGTCATTTAGATCTTTCGAATGTTTCTTTTGCGATGACTCCTGACTTTTTTCCAGGAACTTGTCTCGCCAAGTGTAGACCTCAGTGCAGTTTTACCAAGTACAACTTCGACATGACATCCACACGGTTTCCAGTTCCAGGTTATCACCAGTACCAAAAAGCAATTGAGCAAAATAACCCAAACGTCACATACGACTACATGCGCGAGAACTACGCTGAAGTAACTATCAGTTTTGATACGCTAATTGTTTTTCATACAAATATGCGAGCCAAATATGAAATTTTCTCGGCTAGCAGTGCAATGGGAGGAATTTTCGGGATGTTACTTGGCGGAAGCATGCTGGCTTTGTACGAGTTAGCCGAGATTTCGATTTTGGTTCTCAAAAGTATCTTCAATGGAGCCATTGATAGAATCCAAAAGAATTTCAAGATATCACCCAAAATATCTCCTAATTAATATTAGAACCAAACTTAATGACCTTCAACAAAAGCACATATCTTTTGCATATATACAAAAGACGGGCCATCTTTTGGTCGAGAGCCGGAAAATTTTCACACCCAAATGTAACCTAATGATTTTATGTGAAATTGTTCTGATCTCGTTTGGAGCCAAAACACATTTTTTCAGAAACAATATAACAACTCTTGCATATATCTCTTGCATGACATATTTAACAATTTAATTCTTTTGTCCATTTTTTTGTCCAGATCCCGTATACGTTTTTTTTTGCTGTCTGCGAATTATCATCACAGGTTGTGTGGAATTATCATGTTCGATGTATGGAACTATATGACAAGCCTGGATATTAAGTTTTTACTGTGTTTTTCTTACTTTAATTTTTTTTCGGAGAACGCCGGAGGTACCCTGGGCAAAACCTATATGTTAGTTTTTGGTTATTTTTCTAGGCTAAGTAATGCTGCATCACTTACGTGCACGTTAAAACTGGATTATTTTGAGCTCATTTTGAAAACTCGAGAAAAAACAATTAAAATCAGAAATTGAAAGTAGCTTTGTTCAAAAGATATTGAACTAGTTTTATCCAGGGTAGTTTGCGAAGGCATAAAAACAGTCCGCTTACCAGTTAAGATCTAACGAAACTATAGCGAAAACGAAAACAATCTCAAAATTTGATTGGTATGTTCAAAAACAAAACTACTTGAAACAAAACTACTCGTATCAAGACAGTGACCTGCACTCAAAATCTACAGGAAAAATTATCTTTCTGAGACATTCGAATTTCGATCACGTTTCAAACTTATTTTTTTTCTATTAGTTTATGAAAATAGTCCCACACACTTTTTATAAAGAAAAAAAAGAGTGGAGCAGTAGGCGCCTAACAACTTTAATTATAGTTCCAAATTGCTTGCCTTAAATCAAACTGGAATGATTTCTGAGCCGGATGGAATTGCCACTGAATCGTTAAAAGAACTAAAAATATTACGTTTTAGTTGTTCAACCTAATACCGTTCAAAACTTTACAAAAATGGATGCAAATTAATCTAATCCACACCTTTTCAAGGTTATAATCCCATGCTAAAAAGCACACGTGTTTATTGTGAAAGCCTGGTTAATAAGTGTTTGTAAATGTCTATTGAAGCGTAATTCAATTTAATACCCTATATATCTTGTTACCCAATTTAAAGTAATCAAATCAAAATAGCTCATATCAGGTTAAAGTCTAGATTGTTCTGATTGCTCTTTAAAGGCGACGAAAGAGTTTTTGTTCGAATCACAACTTCAAAAACAATTTCAAATTCACAAAACCAAGTTCAAATAAAGTGAACATTTTTTGATTTTTTCCTTTCAATTCAATAATTTTTTCCGCCACACGTTATGAAAGTAGAAATTGGTATGTTTTGCGTTTTAAACGCGAGCTGGTTTAAGGGGGCTGACGCTCCCACCATCAGGGATTCGACCATTTGTACTAATTTGAGGTATCCATTTTGCCTTTAGCGGCGTTCAAAATTTGACCCAAACATTGACTTTTAGTGCTTTCGGAGAGCTCGGAAAATCAATTCATTCATCCTACAAAAAAAGTCGACAACATTTCCAAAAAGATTTTAAAAATCTGCCCCCTCCCTCGAGAAAATCTTAGATCCGCTACTATTTTACAGAGTTTTTAAAATAATGTTTCTTTTAAATCGAAAACTGAAAGAACTTAAGATATGTCTCCTATCCCATAACTATTCGCTTTTATTAAAGAATGTTTTTATGAATATAAGTTTTCAACTTCGTCTTTTTACTCCCCCAACGGCCAGCATCAATAAGGAGGTGTTTAAATTTGTAGAGGGAAACGTATGATCAATTAGCTTGCCTCAGTTCAAAATGGAGAACTGTATTAATTAGAGAAATTGCTTGCCACCTTTCAATTTACCCTGTAGAAGAACAAAAATACTTTGCTTTCAATTATCTGCATTTGAATTATAATATTCAAATTTTTTCTCAAAACAAAAACTTCATTTTTCTGAAGCAAACACAGGGAAAAAACATTTTTAATACTAAGTTTGCATCAATTTTTTTTAAAGTTAGACTTCAAGTTTTTTCAATGCTGTTAATTTTTTCGACAATAAAGGCTACTGAATAATGAACGCAACAAAAACCACCCACGCACTTTTAATGCAACACCTTTTTCAAATAATTAAATAGTCAAAATTTAGGCCCAGTAAGTTACTGCATATTGCCCAAAGTGCTATGACAAGCACAGAGTTTGTTCACTCGTAAAAATGTTTTCAACCAAAAAAAGCAATCCATTCAGGATGTTCCTAACAATTACGCTAATCCTCAATTGGAAACTTTTTACAATGACGTGATAACATACATTCAGCATAGGGATCGATAAAAATTTTGAATGAAATACAATTTTATGTTGCTCAAAGTGCTCTCTTAAAAAATTGGCTGGCTTACAACGCTTGAACAATCTGCTGGCTGACATTTGTTCTGAAGCGCGTCAAAACAAGAACTTCAAACGTCATTAAATTTTTTTTAGAAAACTAGATCAAATTATTGAAAAAAAAAAACATTTCATAGTGAAAAAAAACAGACGCAATTTTTAGAGAAAAGAGTTACTAATTACATATCAGAATACAATATTCAAAGCTAGACAGACAATATTCAAAATTTCGCTCATACTTAAACTCTTAAAAAATTCAAGTGTTTTCACTTGAAAAGTTGCGTGATTTACTTGACAGAATCTCGTAAAAAAGACCGGTAGCTTTAATTGAATTTTAAAATAAAACTCTCGACTTTTCATGTATTTTTTATCAAATATAACAACTGTGTAAAAAGTCAGGAAAATTCAAGTGTTTTTACAATTGAAGTAGCTCCCGTGGTCCTTTTTCACGAAACTGTGTGTCAAGTAATACACGCGATTTTTCAACAAGAAAGGTACTTAAAGGTTCAAGTGACACTACACAAAACCTTAACTGTACATCACAGGAGTAATTGTGCAGTACAGGTCATATTAGGGATCTAGAAAAAGTATACTTTCATAATGTAACGTCTTAACACTCTCAAGGTCAAATTTATAGTTTTTCCGTTTGACACGTACACCCAGTTGAGTTAGGACTGGAGTGTAACTCATAGAGTAATTTCGGATAGGGTACACCGTCTGCTCGTCACGCTATCTTATTTTCGGCCGGATAGATTCGTGCAACTTCTTAGTCTAATACCGATCCTAATCTTACTCTTATACTATCTAGTCTCAGGTTGTTTAACTAGTCTCTGCTAGGCTCAATAGATCTAGGGTATACTGGTTTATTGCGGCTGCTGAAGTGCTCGGGAGAGTCCAACTAATTTCTAAGTTAAATTCAAATCTCTCTGGTGCTGAAATTACAAGTAACTTCAGCACTTACAAATAAGTGGGTTGTTAGTTAGATGGATCATGATTGGTTAATATTAAATACTTTACATTGGTAAAACATTTAATTTATCCAATCATAAAATATAGTTTAGATCAGGTTCCACCCATCCGGGTTTTACAGAGTTTTTTAGAACAGTTCTTTTGTAGTTCAAGGATGGATGATGGACGTTGGTATTTGGCGAACATCATTTTTCTTTTGTTTCCTTTTTGTTAAGGAAGTTCCAGGGATCTGGAATTGAGGACACAAGACGTTGTGTTCTTCTTGTGACAACGACTGAGTCTCTGCAACAGCATCAATTCTGGTTTCAGAATGGTTGGCTATGTCAGGTTTTTCTGTTCTTCGGAGAGAACTTCTTTTGTGTTTGATCTAGCTCGGGAATGGCGTGGAGATTGTGCGTGGAGGGGATGCCTGGTTACTCGGATCTGTACGTATACTTGAACATCGAGGTGGTCATTGGTCTAGTTCAATGAAGTCCTTTTCTGCGAGGTCAAGTCGTACTCTAAATCCTTTGAGTTGTGATTGTGAGCGGCATATCGATTATAGTTGGTCATTCTCTCTCGAGTGTAGTGAGGTCGTCTTGTCTTTTGATGTTCGTTCTTGGTGTTGTATTCTGATCTATATATTGCATCATGTGATTTTACATTTTATAAAACTTTTATTAATTTAATATTTTTTAATTATGATTTTAGTTAGTTGTTTTCACAAAAGCTTTTTGTTTTAGTTCGGTTATTTTGAAGAGTTACTCACCCTTGAGTAGCTCTTATTAAAAATAAAGGTGTGGTCACAAAGCGTGGATGTAGCACGGTGGGTTAGGCCGGCTATAGAGCATGCTCAGGACGTCCTTTCCTGGTGGGTTAGGCCAGGTGTGGGAGTATGATTTCATGCGGTTTTTATGAGGGGTCCTGTTATGTGACAACATTTTATGTTGGGTTTGTTGTGGTTTTACTTATGTTTTGTTGGTTATGTACTTTTTCCAAAAAGCAAATTGTTTGTGGTATGGGTTTGTCTTTTGACTTTTTTGTGTTTTATTATTTCTTTCTAAGACTTTGTAATAGTCTTCAAAAGAATAAATTATCCAGTTTTAAACTGGGTTAATCCGGTTTGGGTACCGTTGGTTTCCTTTTCTTAGTCATGCTGTTATTTTATGATTTGTGGTATTTAGTAAGCTGCGTTGGTTAGTTTTGTTTAGTATATGATTCCTTTCCAACCGGGTTAAAGGAAAGTTTGAAACTTGTTATTATTTGTTAGAGTTGTTGAGTGTGAAAACTTGAAACTGAAATTCATTATTTTAAACAATTCTTCGTGGGCGAGCTGTGCGAGTGTGGATAGAATTTCTGTGCGAATGAATGAAAATATCAAAAGGTTAGTACTGCAATTGCATTTTATTAATTTACTGCATAGAATTTGGAAATTTACTGCTAGTAATGGGGGAATTTTAAGATACAAATTTTCATCATATGTAGATTTATTGCTTTTAGGGGAAAATTTTATAAATTAATTTACTGCATTGGTATTATATTTATTTAATTGTTGGTGCAGAAGTTAAAAGGGTCTTAAACAGTTTTGAAGAAGTTTGCTATTTTTTATTTTTCTTTT